GGGCATCGAAGTCTCTCCGACGATCTGACTCTCCCGCGGTCTCCGGCGCGCCGGATCGAGCGCCCGTCTCCCTTTGACCTATTATCCTCATCGCGGTGTGTTTTCTTCAGCGAGAGGAGTGCGTACGTGTGTGCGTGCGTGCATGTGTGTACCCCAGGATTGCCACATAGTTGCAGCGGGACTTATTCGTCATCGAAATGATGACGGAGGCGATTGTAAACCACAACGTCCACAACGTCCCGATAACGAAACGGAGAAATCACGAATACGAGGAACCTGAGAACGGCCTATATCCGTAGCTTGTCATCGTTAGAAATAACATTGTGTCGCCTCTGTGTGTGTGTGTGTGTGTATATATATATATATATATATATATATGTGTTGGCGCGACGTTTATTGTAGCGTGGACTTGCATCTCGTTTCGGGCGGACGCTCTTCCGATTCCGTTACGCCGCGGCCGCTCGCGATTCTCAATTCCCAATTCTCATATTCTCGGGGCAAGGAGTCGAGCAGCGTAAATTACGTGCGCGTATGATTCTTTTCCCTCCACTTTCGAGTTACAAACTGGCGTTTCGACACGCCGATACAATCGCGGAGCCATCGTAGCGGAGAAGGGACCTTGGCTTGGACGCACTTACCCGAGGATAAGTCGAACGTTTACATAACGGCGCGGGCGGCAGCTTTAGAAAGTGCGTGGAGATCCGAAAAATTATCGTTAACGCGATAACGTGAAGATAAGGATAAAGAGAAGAAAGATACAAGGAACTAGTATCGAGAGAAACAAGAATATAAGATGAGAGTGGCTCCTTGTAGGCCTGTACCTACCGGTGAACGTGAAAGAATGTTTCGCCATGGTTTGCACTCCTTTCGCGACGGTTAAAATTTAAAATTAAGTATTACGAATCTCAACATCGATTTCTCTCCTATCTCTTCACCATTCGGTTTCTTCACATCCTCGAACGTCTTTTCGAGCGAAGACGTCTTCTAAACTAAATTTCTTCGTTCATATTTAAATTCGTATCTTATAATATTAATTCCACACGCACACCCTGCACATTTTAATTTCACATTCTACTGCATGTTAGGTTCAGGAAAAACGAAGAGGTCCTATGTAAAAGAGAGGAAGAGATAGAAAGAGGGAGAAAGAGAAGAGGAGAGGCAGGCGCGCGCCCGCCCGGCGATTTGAATACCAAATCGCCGTCTCTTGTGCAATTCCCTCTTGTCTGTTTCTCTCCTTTTTCTTCTTTCCGTATTCCGTCCCGGGTCCCTACGACCTTTCCACGTCTACCTGCCTGCGTGCCCCGCGTATTTTTAGGCGTGACACGCTTTCTTTGTGCCGATCGGCCGGACCACCGTCGCAAAAATGACTCCTCGTAAAAGAATACGCGCGGTACTGTTAAATCGACGTTTCTCTTTTCTTTTACCTCCTTTCCTCTCCTCTCCTCCTAAAGTTTCTTACGTCGTATGTACGTCCATCAAGTTCCCGAATTTTTCTATTTAACTCGTCCCTGTCGAGCTAAACATTCTGTAAATTATTAACGTAATAAATTATTCTCTTCTATAGTTCAGAAAATAAAGATAAGTCAAGAAAATTGAACAAAATTTTAATTAGTTTCAATTAACGATTATTACATGCGTAACGTGAAAAAGAAATGTCTTTCACTTCGGTTTTGCAGCTATACATATTACACGCGACAACAATAATCAAATAAAATTATATCTGATTTAATCGTTCGTTTGTTTCACCCAGGTTCTTCGGATTATTTGATATTCTTTCATTCTCGTTACTTCGTTACCAAGCCAAGGCCAGCTTTATAATGTATGCACATATAATTCTGTTCTGTAATTTAAATATTAAAGACACCGAGAGAATATCTAATGGATTCCGCGCGACGATTTCTTTCTTGGCTTTCTTTAAAATCCCGAATATACATATTCTCGAATCTCGTTCATCTCGAAGCGACGACACCGACACGACTCGAAATAGCGAGGAGTAATCTGTACAAGTACAACATCGGACAGCCGCCACGGAAGGCGGAAAGTCGCGCAAAAAGATTCCTCGTTTACGTTAAAAACCTCACTGCGCAGTTGTGTAGCTTGATTAAGATTATCATGTTAAGTATACTCAGGCGCTATCTTAATGATTATTATACGGCATAGGATAACTACAGGCACGCGGAAACTATCGTGGGAAGGAGGCTGCAAAAAGAGCGAACCAGACGAAGACAAAAAAAAGGAAGAAGGAGGAAGAGAGGGAAGGCTCGGGCGGAAGGAGAACCGAGTAACTTGGTTTAGCCTCTCCTAGGCTTTGTCTGTATGGGAGGACAGAGACATAGCCTAGAATAGGTTAGGTCAGGGCTCGGTCAACATAATGGATCATCCTCCGGCACATGACTTTGGGGGAGGTCTAGGTCCGACTCGGACTGTTGCGCCATTGAAATGAAATGAAATGAAATTAGATATGCCAGTGGTGGTTGGAATTCAGGTTTCCTTTACGGAAGGGCCACCACACGGCTCCTCTACAGATCTCACAGCGGAAAATACTAAATAACACGCTATATCGCGATTCACGAAATGATCCACGGCGCCGAAGTGCGAGGTGCGCGGGAGGGAAGGGGCAAAGTATGCCCAGGGTCAAGTTCAAGGTCTACTGAGGTCTACTCTCGACAGGATCGAAAGGATGTCACGCGTGCTCGCGCGCGCGCACACGCATCGGAATTCGCCAGGAATTATTAAACGGATTAACCTAATTGGCGTTATGTCGTTGGAGAGATTTGTTATGCGATAATCTTAAATAATGTATGAATGTGTATATGCATAGCGAGGTATGTAATTACCTGTTGAAACGTTTCCGTTATCCTACCTGGAACAAGGCAAATATTATTTTAGTCATCTGTCTAGTGTAAATAAATAGAACGGTGCGGATAAAGTATTTTTATAATCGATTATTATTATTGATCTTCGAATTACCTACTGCCGAACAAGTGAATCGCTTCTCAGTCGATAAACCAACTTTGTAATTAATAAAATCTTAATTATATTAATATTGATTAATCGATTATTACTTCTACCAATGCAGATCAACTTTAATGTCGATTTAACTGACTTTTTTATCTGTTTTTATATCTTAAAAGTAGAAAAAGATAAAAAGTAAGTTAAACCGAGATTCAAGTTAATCTGCAGAAATCTTAAAGTTTCAATGTCAAATATAATACGTGTGCAGTCTGACATTTCTAGTGCAACTTTCAATTTTCCACTCGTTGCAAAAGCTTTTTGAACGAAATTTAAATTAGTCTGTTTTTTTTGTTAACAGCGTATTGAGAAAGATATATATCCGAGAACTTGTAGAATAAAGGATAACTCGGAACATGGGAAGATATAGAACAGACGTACGTCTCCTCGATTCAATAAAATTCTCATTAATGCTATTCGTACATTTCGCAGCTGAACCTTATTAAATACCGTCACAACTCGCGATTTTTTTTATCATACGAAAATTATTTACGACGAGATCAATGTGTAAACGGACTCCCGAAATTCCTCGCCACGCCCAACGCTGTCGTCATTTCCCCGTCGAGAAGATCGAAATTTATCTGCAAGCACGCGGTACATGCCGTAATTCGCAGAAATTCCAAAGTTTCCTCTGCTTTTCCGCAGTCACGTTTCGATACCTCGCCATCAAACGATCTTGAAAGACCAAGATTTATAAAATGATCACTATTATGTATCTGTGGACTTGATTCTAAGAGCGTAAAAACGTGTGCGGCTCGAAAGTACATCGTGAGCAAAGCGCATCGTCACTACCTCTCTCTCTCTCTCTCTCTCTCTCTTGTCTCTCTTTCATTAATATATTATATAATATATATTAATGCATATAATATATTGATATTATACATAATATATGTATATAAATTTATATAATATATACAATATATATTAATGTGTATACAAGTTAATATTATATATATATGTATAATATATGTATAGAAATTTATATAACATATTAATATAATATTGAATATATGATATACATTAAAGTGCTTGCAGTTGCTCTCGTTCGAAGCGTTGCACAGAGTATCTACTTTCTCGCAGAAGAATGATATAATTTATACAATTTATAAAAAATCATCGAGCGCTGTGGGACTCGCTAGCGAAATCATTACTTGAAGGATTATTGTAATCTCTCGTTCTCGCTCGGTCCTCCGGACACGTCGAGCAAGACGATAACGCTAAATGATTTCAACGTCGCTAGCTAGTAGCTAGATACCATTCGATCGGCATTGAAATTATACTAGAGCTATCGCTATAAAAACTATGTACAAATGAATTAACCGACGAATAATAGAACGACTCGCATTAAATACGGGTTTCCTCCAGCAATGTAAATAAATTAGTTGCTTCCCTACGTGGTGTCGAGCGCTACGTGCACGTCTTCTCGAGCTGTATCCTAAAAATGATGCATATCCTCTCTCTTGAATTATTTTCCGAAATATAAAATAACTTGACGCTAAAAAAAATCTGTTTTAATTATTACGATAAAAGGCTTCGCAGCATTTTCAAAAGCTCAGTGTAGAAAGCAATATCTGCATTCTATGAATGTACAACGTAGCAGGCCAGAAAAGATGCAACGTTAATTTCAATTATATAAATAAAATTCGTTTTATACCATGTAATTTTAAAAGATATACGTCTATCAATCGCTTTCAAACACAGTACGGTTTTTCGTAAATTAAAATTTTAAAATATTTACATGTAATTGTACGAACCTTCGAATGACAAAAATTCGAGAGGAAAAAAAGAGTGCAAAATTGATTCTCCTATTCTATTCGTATGCGAATATTGATAATATATTAATAATGATAATATATTAATAATTATAATATATTGATAATGATAATATATCGATGAAGTGTTCTTTCTGATATTTGTCCAACATAATTCTTCGACAAGACCGATAATATACAATAAATATTGCTGTGTAGCTTCATGCTTGTCAAAAATTATTCTATAAATATTTTAATTAATTTCGATAGATATAAGAATTTCACAACAGTTTTTAAAAGACATTATTTCTCACTTACTTGTATATACCTTAGAATCTCTCTCGCGTAAAAATCTCGCCTCGAAGTGTCGCTTCTATCCCCCTGTATCGTAAGGATTAAAAACTATGCGCGATCAGTCGAATGTGTGACCAAACGTAAACTCTAAAGTAGAAATGATATATTGTACAATGTCGGCTATGTAAAAGATCTTAACTAATTAAATCCTTTTAATTTTAACAATGAGAAGCAGTCTCTCTGTGACACAGTGATTACCAACTGATCGTTAATTCCAGTCTGAATAGCGTGATATGTATACAATATTCTCGGTGATGACAATAAATAATTACATTTAATATTAGTCGCGAGTAATTATATTTAGTATTAGTAAAATGCACGTTTGACCAGATTGTACGAGTATTGCATCTCCTCTTTATCACTTAATCAGTTGATAATCTCGTTGTGTAAAACAAAAATGTACATACGCTATATATCGGCTAAACCTAACTCGCTAAAGAAACGTAAGATAGGAAAATAGTGCCTCGGCAGATCCTCCAACTCGATCAGTCTACTTTACTCGAGAATCATCTCACACACGAGACCTTTATTTAATTTTTTTTTTTTTTTTTTTTTTTCCTACGTGTGTTCTAGTCAATAGTCCGACTAAGGCCTACAAATCTAGATCTTGCTTGCTCAAAAAATGTGATATGTCAAGTAAAATGTATAGTATATTATACATATATATCTACGGGTGCGGTGATAGACTTGAATGTTGTAGCAGAATCAATTACGTGGAGCTGTATGTGTGCCGGCATCGGTATTGACACTCAACATTATTATACTTTGGCTAATTTCCAATGTGAAAAGAAGCTAACAAGAACGTCGCATGGTCCCGACGATGAGTTTTGTAGGCATGCTTAAATTTCGTGGTCCAATGGAAATCTCTTGCTCATATTGTAATCCTCGTGACTCGATATCACAAAAATTGATGCAGTCGCAATTGCGGCACCGATACAACTCGCTCCACGTCCAAGTTTACGACGAATTGCGATTTCCCTAAGCACAAACGAACGATTTTCGTCAGAATTTTCATTGAAGAAGACGAAATCATCCTTAGGACAATCACTGGAATGTGTAATGACGTTTATGTGTTGCCCGTGTGTTGGTCATCGCAATGATCTCTTTCTATTTCTCCAACGAGACGTTCGTAAACCTCGTCCCTCGGATATTAATCTCTTGTGTACATATATATCGATCGTCAACAGTCTGATATGAAAAAAACTCACTAACCGTGATAGGACGTAAACATTTATCCTATTAAATCTGCCGACATCCTCCTCATCTTGATGAACTCCTCGGAGATTCCACGACGTGTACGTGTGTATTTTCTGGTAGGCGAGACGTTATCGCCAATCTTTCTTAAATCCTTTTATTGCCTAGAAATAAGTTTCCTCTCTTTTTCAAGAGAAACTCTTCTTCACATTCTTTCCAGCTTGCTAGTGTCATCCATTGTCTGTCGTCAGCGACGATAAAACTTTAGCAAAGTTTCTCCGAGTGAATTACACAGATATTACATTTTGTATATATTATTATATATATTTACGTTAAGACGTGTGATCCTGATTCTTGTAGAAAATAACGTTCTACGTTTTAATATACATATCACTAGAGAGTCAGACACACACATTCATATATATATATTATATATATTTTATATAATTGATCGTATCATAAGCTTGAAAACGATTAACGTTGAAGATGATAATCTCTTGGGCTTTTGCGCTATGAAGCTGATCTCCATCTTTTTTCTCGTTCAAAAGTCTTCGTCTAGGATATGAGATTTCATACGGCAGCGTTTACATTACGTGAATCATGTCCCTGTTTCTCTTTCTTTCCCATTTATCGAATTAGCGGCATTCTAGCGTCTAGTTAGTATTTCTAATGCATGCTAATAAATCGGTAAAAAGCGGAAGTACTGAATTTACGATTGCTTCATTACTTTTCCTTCATAGAAATGTTTCTTACGCATGAGTGAAGTGATCATTTCTCTTCTCGCACAGAAACATATAAAATGATTTATTGTATCATCATAATCGGTCTGTATCTGTAGATATCATGTAAAGTCTTGCGTGATTAAATCTGAGCGAATATAGGTACCTTCCGCAAATCCTTCACTATATCGGAATATATCCAAGTTCCACATCATGCATGGATATTATTCAATCTATAAATCGAAAGTAAGAACAGCTATGTATTCTATAAGCGTTACGATAATATTAATAATTGAGATATCAAACTGCTTTGCCGATATATCTTAGAATATATATATATATATTATTACGGATGGCTGTGCCTCCTCTATTAAAATTGACACTTTTCATGGCATAAGCCTTATTAAAATAGTTGCACATATGCGTGTGTCCTTTGCTCAATATACTTGCATAACGGTTTATATATAGTCAAAAATAAAATAGCAGAGTGATTATTAGTTAGTTTCAGAGTGATTATTTTGCGCACGAAAACATCCGTGTGTGTCAGCCGATCTTGAAATCTCTTCTCTTTCCATTTTATTCCTATCGAATATTAGCACCGTTCGCATGTGGCGATACTCGATGAGGTTCCATAAGCAATAAGAGGATACAAGAGTGCTTTGATCCAACTTCAAGTTATTCTGCGTTAGCAAGCAGAACAAAAGTCGCCGTGAGTCGTTCTGTGCGCTTCAAATATGCAAGTGCCTCCAAAGACAACAGCGCTTCATTATTACTTAGGATATGTCCCTTTGTACAGTCTCATTCTAAAAAATTTTCTTCTTTTGATCAATAAATTATTGACATGTCTTGAACATCGGTTTTTTTTTTGTTTTTTTTTCCGAATAAATCCTAAGAATAAAGAATAGCATGCCTCCACCATGTCTCTGACGCATTCGAGATTATTCTTTCCAGAATTCACTCATCAGATGACAAAGTACTGTATAAGATTGTTTCGTATGCAACAACGAATTTTTAGCTTTAGATATGCGTTGTTGATATTCTTTTCTACCGATGGAAAAGTTTACAAGAAGACAGTGTGAGTATGAGGCAATTTAAAAGTTATAACGCTAGCGATCAATAGTGCCAGCGCAGTCAATAGTGCGGGCGCGATTAAAGGCATACCCACTAATGTCTGATATGTCGTGGTTCCTATCAGACCTGATATTCTTATGGCTGCTGCTATGAGTCCAAAACCGGTACATCTATAGACATTAACAAAATGCTTTCATTCAAAATAACTTGGATTTTCGTTTCTGTAATATCCTGAAGATTTTTACTTCTTTACCTTAAGTGTGTGGGGAAGCTCTCGACTGTCACCAAAGTTAACGATGTCCACCCAATGGCGAAAAGGGCTGTGAAGCCACCTTCAAAACCAAGAATTGCCGAACTGTTTTGGCGAAATAATATCAGACATAACGCAGCAACGGAAGAGAGGAAAAGCGAGAGACCTAATGGTAAAAGAAAAAGCGTTAGTTAAAGTTATACTTGAAATCTGCTTGCTACCTGCAACGAAATTTATTAACTAACCAATTAGTTTTGGCCGCTGGAGAACGGTAAGTGCCAATCCTGTCAGCGCGGCAGCAGGCACGAAAGCCAATTGAGCAACGAGGTGAGCATGCAACGCTTCTTCGATATAAATGTTATAATCGAGATCGAGAGTCGGGCAAGACCCGCTTAAACTCAGCTCCGTGTTATTCTCCAATTTACATCTGGTGAAAACTTGTGCAGATAAATCTGTGTCAATAAATCTGTAACAAAGTATGTACACGTCCAATTATATTAATGAATATAAAAAATTTTAGTATTGTTTAAACGACGTTACTTACTTGGAATGTACAATAACACTGTCTCTAAAGTAGGTTTTGCTAGACTTAATGCTACTGAACTCCACCGATTGGAAGGTACAATTGTCAAAATCGACATGGCTGAATACCATTTTAGTAAATCTGTAAACATAAAAAAATTATATTTATAGGAAAATACTTGATCGTTTTTCACTGGTTTATCTCAACTGGTCTGTCTGTACCTGCAGTTCAAAAATGTCGAGTCTTTGTACTGACGATTTTCCCAAGAACCAGTAAACGTTGTACCATTGTATGTTTCATCAACAATGAGTTTAGTATGACTTTCATATTCCCTCGCTCGCAAAAGTTTCAGATATTCGGGACACCATACCATAAGACCATAAAGACTAAATATAATAAAAATAAGCCAAGTTCACGACATTCGTATAATTAGTAGTTAAACAGTACGTACCTAGAAACTAACGCGAAACTTACCTGAATGAAGCAGCGGTCCAGATAATTAACAGTACCAAAGTCACACGTAAATGAGGCGTTACAAATAATTCCAGGAAAGAATTCCAGAACTGCAAATAAAGAATAATTTATTAACTCTTACAGTTAAGATATCTTCACGTGGTGATATCTTCCTGGAATATTTACCATTTCGATCGAATATATTATGTCCGCCAAAACACTAGTATGATTGCTAGGAGATGGCGGCGCCAAGCCGCGAGGTCTTTTAGTCGGAAGTTCAAGTTCAGAGAGCTGATATTGAGCACCTGTTGCACCTTTTCGGGCGTTATTTTTCTTATATATCCTCTAAGACATTAACGTATGGAAAACGTTGGATATTAGATACTGAGAATTTAATTTTATCATCGTTTATGTTACACACGTTTACCTGATAGACCATCATTGCCTCCACATCTCGACCGGCCTCTATAAGATACCTTGGGCTTTCCGGTAGAAAGATAAGTCCGATAGTGGAGCACAACGCCGGCAGACAACATAACAACAAGAAACGATGCCAAGCGCTGAAGTGTTCCTTATTCTCCAGGACAACCATTTCTCCCGTCGTGGGTACCACTGCCCAAGCCAAGAGCGCTGCGTAAACACCACCAAGTGCACACGCTACCACGAGTATACCTGTCCAGCGACCTCTGCTTAAACGTGGGCAGCATTCGGCGAGATATACGAATGCCAGTGGTAGAGCTCCTCCTACTCTGTAATACAAAAAATTAAATCTTAATAAATAACAACGATATTTTATATAACTGCTTTAGTTCCTGCTTCAACAAATGCTAAATTACATGTGTATTTAAATCGACAATGGGGGATAAAAAAAATTACCCGAGAGCTGAGCAAAACCTAGCTGTCATAAAAGTGCCATAAGTGGGCATGAATGTCGCAACACCGCTGAACAGAGCGTGCACGGACATGGCTGAGAGCAGGGACCTGCGTCGTCCTAGTCTATCGCCAAGACCACCCCAGAATAATCCACCCAGGGCGAGGCCGACAAGAGTAATGTTTCCTAAAAGGAAAAAATCATGTCGTTTAACATCCCAAAACACATTTACACAGAAGCAAACTCACCGAGCCATCCCTTCTCGCTGTCCTTGATGCAAAGCTCAACCTCTGCGCTCGGCAGTATATAAGGTACAACAAAAATTTCGACGGTATCGGCTGCCAGACTCAAGCCCGTGCAGAAAGCAGCGAATATTTGGAAATACCCAACGCCAGCCTGCAACATTACATCCCACTCGTTGATGCCGAATATTTTTACACAAGTCTTATTATATGTAACAATATAAAATTAACGTTCATCAAACGTGCATTAGTAGAAAACATAGAATTAGCGCAAACACTGAACAGAGCACCCCTTTCACTACCTTGATGAGTACGAATAAACGATAAATATATCATAATACGAGCGATCTTAATAAAACATCGTTTAAGGCGTGCATTAATTTTTTTTCTCGCAGGCTCGCAGCCCGGGGTGTAACCTCCGACCTCCGACCTCCGACCTCCGACGCGTAACGTCAACAAGTAAAAGAACATTTACTGGGAAATCCTTCAAGTAGCCTGGTACTTGGCGCGGTACGTATTTCGCCTTGACGATCGACTCGTCCAGGACTTGGTCCATTTTTGCAGGGAGAAAAAGGCTCCGGCCCGCGAGGACGGATCATTCACTTCGGGCAAACGACGACACGACGACGACGCCAGACGCCATTTCGCCCAGGTTATGTTTTCGTTCCGCCCAGGCCCAGGCCCAGCATCGGACATTGGAGCAACAGCAATGAGCAGAGCACAGCACATCCCGCACGATCGACCACGGTGACGCGTGACGCTCGAGCAGCATGATCGATACTTGGACACGCGTCTCGATCGCGATTCAGCGGTCGATATCTATCACGTTCAAAATGACTCATGGCCGCTGTCCGCTGTCGCGAATGCAGAGATAATGATGCGTCACGTATGTCAGGAAAATACGCGGAATACGCCGTGATTGCGACGAGAGGAGGCAAATGATGAGGTAGGCACGTCAGTCGATAATCTTGTCGATCTTGCCCTTTATGAGTTTCAAAGACGTCATTAGCGCGACATTGATAATAAAACGTGCTCTTTCCCATTTCTAAATAGATCCTAATCTCATTTCTTGTCGGATAGGATTGCCGGATTGCGATTTAAAAAGAAAAATAGAGAGGAAAAAAAAAAAAAAAAACAACAACATGGTCTTCGCTCGATGGTCCCTCGAATCTCGAAGCCTCGAACTCGAATTCGAGAAGTGACATATCCGGCGGCGCCGGCCGTGGGGAGTTACCTGCTTGATGGCGTCCTCGTGAAACTGCGCCAGGAGGGTCGCGTCCGCGGTGGAGTCGATGAGGTCGTGCTCCGCGGAGTCGGCCGAGGCCGAGTTGACGCCGGCCGTAGAAACGTTCGCCGGCTGCGTCGTCATCTCCTCGGTGTAGAGACCGGACCTAGTGTTCGCGGCGCGCTCTCCGGCGCCCGTTTTCGTCGCGCTGCCGCCGGAGGGTGCGAGGCCGCCCCCGCTGCCAACGAGCCACTGGCTTTCCTCCTCCGATGAGGGCATCACTGCCAGAAATCATCTGAAAGACGGATTAATGGATAATGAGACTGAATGAGACAACGCGACCAACGATCAACGATCGACTGGGAGCTGGACGAACGAATGCCTTTGTTAATCCCATCCTCTGACTGACTGTATCCTACCGGTACTGTATCCACCTTCCGTATCTCGTGGGACAAATGGCTATTGCGATTCTGCTGTATATAATGTGTTATTCTATCTCGGTTCTATATAGGTACTCTCGCGGCGAACTGAACTTGACGTCGATCGCGTAATGTCTACAATGATGGCAGAAAGATAGGTTGCCTCCCGGTATGTTGCGCCCTGTATTAATGTAGATAAGATAAAATGCGAGCTGAGAGATAAAGGTGGGAACATTGAGTCAATATTGACGTACGAAAGACACAAAGCCGGAAGTGGAGCGGAGAGCGAAATGAGAAGCGGCAAGCAGTTTGCGGGAATAAGGCTACGTTTTCCTCGATAGAGGCACAGAGAGCCCGTTCTATATACGGCGCGCGTCATCACGACTTTCGCGGCTGCTTTTTATGGTTTTATTTGCTTTCGCGACGCTTCGTTTGACTGACGCTATCGCTATATCGATATAACATTAAACGTACGGCACTTTGCGTCGCGACGGACCGTAAAGAACGTAAAGATCCTCGGGGAAATATATTTAATACGTATGTTACACGTGCTGCATCTTGTTGGACCTGCGTTAAAAATCTTTATAATACCGTACGTAGATATGTCTTAATAATGCTTGCATTGTGCCAACGCACACGTGCTTGGAAAGGCATGCGTCACGGCTCTGTCTATAAGCGCGGTTCACTGACCAAGGTTCATTGTGCACGATATTCGTCATAGTGACAAGTGAAATATTCAACATTCAACATTCCCGACTTTCGTTCGTCCCCGCGGTCGCGGGCCGACGATAAAATGAGCATTTGCATATTTAAGGCTGTGGAAGAGAAACTCACGTTACATTTACATATCGCGCGGCAGTACGCGGAGCTCTACACGAGTTGAGGCACGCTGAAAGATTACGCTGTATCGCTATATAAAAAGATTTTACGTCGTCTTGTAAACAATTTTATGCACGGTAATTTCTTTTTACAGATACGTTGTACAAACGTGTTCTTGGCAATCGGCAATCTGGCAATCCTTCGACTCGCGCATTCCACGCCGGATCTACAGCCTTATCGTTGACCTTACTCAGCCGTCACAAAGTAACCGGAGCAGCTTTCGCGTGCATTTACTTTCGTGGCTACAATACGTCAGCGTTTGTGAGTCCGCATTGAAAATTTGAAACACGCATTGACGCGGAGGTCGTGCGTCCTACTCAAGGCTGACAACGTCCCGGACGTGATGCAAGACCTGATGCCGGCAACGCGCGTAGGTTCTCTCTTTCGCGTGTCCTTATATATATATATATATATATATATATATATATATATATATACTACGTCATTGATCTGCATTGGCCTTCACACACATACACCCAGACGTTGATGAAACGTTTGATATTACGGGATTAGAGATTTATCGTGAAACGTGCAAGATATGTAGAAATAGATAGAGGATTCGCGAATTTGCAAGAAATAACATATAGAGCTTCTCTAACGTTAGAGAAAATCTAATATAATAAGAGGCAAACGTACGGTAAAAAATAATGCATGTTGCAGGTAGTTCTTCTTCATTAATGCTTTGCTGGCCGCAGGACAACGAATGCTCGCCCTTATCTCGAGAAAAGGTGCGGTATTACGTCAACGGTTCCCGTATGCTCAAGAACAAAAAGAAAGTTGCTCTACTACGACAAAGAAAGTTGCAAAAAAAGGCAACTTAAACGTGTACTCCTGCTCCGTCCCTACGGCGACAACGTTGCGGTCCTTTTGAACACGCATTCGCACATGTTAACGTTGCGGGGTATTCGATTTCCGGGGATTTTCGCGGTACTACGTAGCTATAATTAGGTATGTACATTTTGCAAAACGCGTCGGCGCTTTGTTGCGGCCGCGACCGCATACATGTACGATTTATCGATCCGAAACCGCGTACACGGTTTCGTAGCGCGCGCGTAGACCCGTATACATTTTCCGAACACGGAGATACACAAACAAAGATACAAGCGCGCGAACACAGGCGTCCTCGTGTATGCACGTGCACGCGTCAACCTCGCGACCGCCACGGTCGCCGACAGTCACGGCCGCCGGCCGCGCGCGGCGGGGTGACTCCCGTGACTCGCGTTTTCGCAGTTCTCTATTTTCTCGCCGTTAGTTATTTTTGAAACGCGACCGTACGGGGCGTACAGCAGCGGCCAGCGGCCAGCGGCCGTCATCGGCAGACATTAGCGTTTTGTCTTTACTCGTCTTTACACACAAGAGAGAGCACCTCTCGCCTCAGGAAAAATATATTTTACTCGGAAATTTATTATACATATTATACTTTTACCACACAGACTGAGAGGGAGAGAAATACGTCGGAAGCGTTTCGGAGTCGATTTTTCCTCGGCCGGCGTTTATAGAGAAGTTTAGATCCTGAACGAAGTTTACAAGTAAATGACAAAACTTAATGTCTATGTTATTAACTCCGACAGGGAGAACGTTTGTTTGAGCCACCTACTTGCTAAGTCCACTCAATGTTGCGACGTGAGCAAGTCTTGACGAATGATGGATGACATCCTACGACGCATGAGATTTTCGCTGAGAAGAGCGTGGCTCCGAGTCGCATGCCAGAAATTTGTCTCGGGCGTATGATATTATACATGTGAGCGCAATATTTTATTATTTCGCGCGTTACACGAATACAACTTTCGACGAAGATGTTCGCCTTGGCATATCAGGGATCCAAGTAACGATTTCACGTTCGAGTATATGTCGAACTCAAAGAAATGACATTACGTTATACTTGGAACAAACTGATTTATCTTTGATATCAACGAGGCGGGGAAAAATACTCGATAGTTAATTAATATACGCCGACGAGATGCCGCGGTCTCGCGTATCTACCAGCGACGCAGCTCGTCCGGGTCCGGACTTGTACGCGTGCGTGCTCATTATCACTGTATTCGGCCGTTATACGCTGTCGACACATATACGCTGCACGTGGGGCCAACGCGATATGCATAGATAAGTGCGATCGACGAACACGAGTCAAATGACGTCGCGTCGCGTAGCGCGGAGGGAAGCGCGATATACGCGATTTATAAAGCTTATTCTTGGATACGCGTATCGTGCGAAACCGGTCGTCTCGAGAGGATACACCTGCATGTATCTATTTTAATTACTAATAACTCGTTTCTCTCAACTATAATTAACGATGCTCACAAACAGGAAACGAGATCGGAATAAAAGGGAAAATCTAGCTGTTAACTCTCACAGACTCTCAGGCCTTCAAACGACAAAGGACAAAGTAGCGCGCAGTTGCGATATTGGTGTGATGCGATGTCAGCGAGAGTCTTCATTAAATAGAGATAATATATTTCATTAAAGATATTTCATCAATGAAATAGCGAGATAACTTTTCAAATGTATTTATAACAATGCGTACTTTCTTACCCCGTTAATCAAACTCTTGTTGAGGTCGGCCTATCTTTATTATTTGGACTTTGCAAATAGAGGAGAAAAAAAATGTGGAGAGATATAGAAAGCGCGCGGTTGAGAAAGACTTGAGAGAAATAGACGCATATGTGCATGTCGTCGTCGCTTTGTCGGGCGCGAATTAATATCATTAGAGCCGCGGCGCTTATCACGGGCGTTCTTATCGCGTCGCGCATAAATCACCCACCTGGTTGATAGGGAGTCGCCGTGAAATACTGCACCTTCCCAATGATAACGTCGCTTCTCTGCTTGCAGATTTCACCGGGATGGAGTAAATCGGGCGCGCGCCAGTTCTCGTCGATTAACTTTCGTGGATCGTCGGGCTGGCGGGGATCGAGAGCATCGCCGTCGATGGAACGACGAGGATTGAGGATTATCGACACGTGGAGTCCGACTCGGAGGATGAGATAATAGGAGAACTACCTACTGTTTAATTCAGCGGCGTGCGGCGTGCGACGTGGCGCACCTCTTCGCCCACACTTGGCCGTGCTTCGCCGTCGATCGTCGATCGTCTGTCACACAGGCGTCACAGCCACAGCGCGACACAGAGTCGTCAGTCGTCCGCACTCGCGTCCTTACAACACGTCAGCATATGTCGGCGGCAGCGCAAGTGCGAACGCAATCGAACACGCGAATAATTTTTACGTAACGATACCAGCGGCGACGGGTGATGATACTGATGATCCGCGTCCGACCGCACGACTTCGACGTCCCGTCGGGATTTTATTTCAGTACATTATATATTATGGATTTACATAATGGATAATGTAGACGTTCAGGGATAGGTATTAAAGGAATATCGTGAATACCTCGTGGAGAGCGATCGTATCTTTGTCTCTCGTTAGAAGTGGTATCTCTCTTCGTTTCGATGCCGACCTACCTCAATGAACGACCGCCACGATCTTTAATTCCATGTTAAAACTTCTGCGAGCTGCGAGCATCACCCTCACATTGGGACGCGTATCTCCTTGTTATAATTATGTGTATAGATATAGATGTGTATAACGGAATCTTCCTCGCGACTTAACGTTCCTCTTTGTCAGAGGATGCGGCGCACACCAGGACCACCAACGTCGAGCTCGCGTCCTGTCGCGTTTCGCGCGCCGTGTCCTTTCGTTGGGGCCGTTGGGGGTCGGGGGATCGATTCTCGGCGGAGCGGGAGGCGGCGCCGCACGGAACGCGGTGATCGGTTCCGACGCGCCTTTCCGAATGAAAAAGATCCGCGATACGTTTGTTATCGGAAGCGCGGGGTTTATCTCGCGCGATCCCTATCCCCTCGCCGCGATAGCGCGCCGCGGGCATGGCGGCCGTACCAGTCGCTCCCGGCGGCAGCCCGTGAAAAACGAACGACCCGGTAACATTTTCGCAGTACGAGGGAAACAACACTGCCGTCGACCGTCGACACGCCGCCTGCGCCGCGTATCGATTTGCGTCGCGACGCCCGACGCACGGCCCGACACGAGTCGTCGGTAGCGCCTTCTCCCCGATCAGAGTTCCCCCTGCGAATCATTAGCTCGATATACGTACTAGCGAGATGGTCCCTAAACTCGTAGAGGCCTCCTGAATGACTCTGAGCAAAGTACTCTGTAAATATATATAATATTTCATACACCGTTGAAAATGTCAAAAACCAATACTCTCGAAATTTTTATTTGATGAGGAAAAATGTTTTATATATGTCTGTTGAGAACAAGTAAATGATGTTTTGTATTTCTTGTTTTAATATATTTGGAGTATATTGGAACATTGCCTATATATGTCTATGCATATAGTTCTGCATATATAAATATGGAATTATTGTGCAGTAATATCTATAATATACATATATATATATA